ATTCTAAAGTAGTAAAAGACAAAGAAAATTTAAATACTTTTTTTTTCTTCTTCTTTTGTAAACAAATAAAATCGCAAGCACATCTAGATGGGTTTAGCAAACGCTGATTTTATCGTAACATGTTGTATTTTCGTTTTAAAAAAAAATCCTCTTTTGATCGGAAGTGCAATCCTATATTTGAAGAGCATTTTGATCGGAAGTGCAATCCTATATTTGAAGAGCATTTTGATCGGAAGTGCAATCTTATATTTGAAGAGCAGAGCAAAAATACCCCTCCCCATAATATCCAAACGTTATGCTTATGGTCGTTTTTTATTTGTATTTTTTTAACGCTTTTGTTTTTTGTAGTTTGTATGTTTTTAGCTAAGCAGAAAGCAACACAATTGGCTATCAATGCGTTGCCAACTACGGGTGTTGAAACCCGGTTTTTAGCATTTTAAGCCGTCAGACTTATTACTGAGTCACCAGGGGGGGGGGGATTTCACAACACACGTAATATTTTTGTTGACGTATAATTAGAGAAAATATATGAGATACGTTGAGAAATGTAACTTAACTAGTTGACATTTACACAATATATTTTACTCTGTTTTAATATTTACAACTTGACGTGAGGGGTCAAAACCGCACGACAACGCGTTATATTACTTTTATGGGGGCCCTAGGGATACATGCTAAGTCTGGTAAAATCGGTCCAGAGGTTCGCCACTTAAAAGCGGACACATACAGACTTGTATCAAATATCGATTTGCATAAGATGAAAGCAGAGCACAGATAGCCCATTGTGTAACTTTGTGCTTAATTACAAACAAACAAACAGACTCCCAAAGGTATATTTTAACAGTGCAAATGACAGAATCGTTGACTCTTTATACTGTGGGGTTTTATGGGGGGGGGGACATTCTCTGCGACCACGGACCCAAATTTTTTTAACCGATTACTTAAACAGTATCAATGACATCATAATTCCTAATAGTATCATTGAAAATTACCGCACTGCAGACGACAAACAGTCCGAAAATTACCTTAACTGCCTGTGGTGCTCAGTTTGTTTATTTGTTGGATTTCGCGGAAAGCTAATCGTGGGCTACTTTAACTGTGGTGCTCAGAGCGTAAATATTGGATAGTGAACGACTTGAAACGAACATTGAAAGAGAAGCTCACTTGGGACACTTGGTCCTGCTAGGAGGTGTCATAATGAAGTAGAGAACGTTCTTATGACAGACGGTGGGTCTGTTCATTTCTTTAAAAGGGTGACTAACACCGAAAGAATATCTAGCATTGATACTTATCACACCCATCCCCACAGTGGCTCATTTATACTCTAATAAGGAAAAGGTCCTCCAAATACTTAAGTGTTCAATACATCGAGCTCTTATTCCTCAAATCGAGCATGACAGTGATTTCAGCCATCTTTATTGGTCAGCCCAATCACCGGATCTTAATTACCTTTCAGTCTCATGAGGATCAGTTTGGACATTACATTCGCTACGTGAATCCTCTCTTAGTATTGGAGACCCTATAACTCCTCCTTCAAGAACCTTGTGCACACATGGAACCTTGGCTATTGCCACAAAGGATAGCCCAGCCTAATATTAGACGAGGCGTAAAACAAAGTGGCCGCACGATGTATGTTGACAATTGTTTCACAAACTAACAGGTTTTGTATTCAAACAGTAAATAATTGTGGACTATAAAAAAATTTTAAAATAACCAAAGTTCTCTGTCCCGCGCCGTGGTTCTCTAAGAGCAAAGTTGGTTCTTTGGTGCAGCAGCTTTCATAACAACGGCCTTTATCGCAAATGTTGCTAACAATGTTTAACCTATAATTAATTCTAATAGTGTTCAAAGTTTTCTCAAGCGAATATATTTAACTAACAAACGAAAATTATTGGTGCTGTTACAAAACGTTATTTGTAAAACTTGTAAAAAAATAAAAGTACCGGCTCGTCCGCCAAAAAAGCCATAACTTTCCGGGAAGCAACCAATACTGAACAATTAAAGTAAAAATCTTAATCAACTATACAGTTTTATAAATTTTAGTTTAGTAAGTTTTACAATTAGAGAATATTTTTAAAATGTCAGGTACAGTCGTTTCTTTCTATTTGTTCATAAACTCTGGATTAAAATATTTACGAAACCTAACATGAAACATCACTTTGCTTCACTTTGTTACTCTAAAATAAATAAATATATTTATATCTATATTAGCAAATCCTTAAAGAGTAATTTCACGAGGAATATAAATACTTTTTTTTCACAGAATATCACCACAAAAATACAACAAAATACATTTTCTGGTACTTTAAAAGTTACAAATCCATAAATATATAAATGCTTTGCTCTGCCGCCATTTTGTTTAGGGTTAAACGTAGCTTTTATCATCGGAAACAGCTAGTTGACGTACCAACTGTTTCATTCCACGAAACTACCACTTCTGTCGGTGGCCTTTTGATCCCTTTTCGCTTCTTCCGTTTGAGTTTTTTGAAATCTGATATTCCAATATGATGGAGGGCTTGTTTCCGGTCGCTACTGCCTCGTTCTCGTCTCCAGCTGCTCCTTTTCTTAAGCCTACCCCCTGCTGTTGCATCAGTTTTGGGCGGGAAACGACCATACAAATAAGTGAGAGTGCCAAACATCACGAAGCCTAGAAGTGAAGGAATGAAAGCCATTCCCTTTACGGACAATGGGTAGTTAAGATAACGAGAATTCATTAACATGTCGTCTTCCACGCAGGTCCTGTTTGTCTCCAGAATAATGGTATTAGCTCTCACCTCATAAGTCCAAAGAGTCGTGTTACCTGCTCAGGCATCAATAGAATAATGCAGCAATATATATTGGTATTTACAACACACACACACACTGGTACATAAGGATATTCGGAAAATTATATATTAACTTTAAAATGTTTATATTATCTAACAAAAAAAAAATACTGCTCCAGCATAAATAGTAATTATTTTTTCGGGAAGAAAACTTCATAAATCTTTTCTAAATCTCTTACATTAATGTCAAAGATGCGGCAAAAAAATAATAACCACGAAAACAATAATTAACTCTTTACTTTCTTCATTCTATATATATATACATATATATATAAAGCTTGAATTCAACAACACATACTTTTAACCAAGTAATTTTATTGTGACTTCAGGAAAACCAGAGAGATGGCAGCACCTATCCAAGTGTCCAAAAAATGGACAAAGCATGTGAGAGATTATTGTTATGACAAGGGTCAGGGGAAGAGCGATAACAGGAAAACCCAATGGTGGCTTATAATTCTGCTTAAAGTTAGGATTTTGTAAGATTTGGTAAGGCTTTTAGTTATTTAACATTTCAGTACTATCATGATAAAATAGTCAGTTTTTTAAGTTCTAAAGGAGGCGACGTCTGTTTACCTGTTTTACATGAAAGGCGAAAGTCAAGTCTAAGAACAATAGTTTAACGTAACTATTGACAAAATGTATTTTCAATATATCCAAATAGAACATTCGAAGTATGTATGTAGTAAAAAACAACAACAACAAGACAATGACACCCAAAAGTGAGTCTTAAATTATGTTAATTTATGTAACTTATATAATATATTGAGGAGAGAATGTTTATTTCTTTCATAAAAGAGATCGAAGTCGTTAAGAATATGTTATAATTCCAAATAATAAACAATGATGAAATTATGTTAATTACATACTTAAGTGTAGGGCCCGGCATGGCCAGGTGGTTAGGGCGCTCGACTCGCAATCTAAGTTTTGACACTAGATAAATTGATAAATTTTTTGTTGTTTTTTTTTAGTGCTATGCTATACAATAGTCTATTTGCACTCTGTTCATCGCGAGGAGTCAAACACCGGATTTTAACGTTGTAAGTTCGTGAACTTAACGATGACCCATCGGGGGACAGTTTTGCCACAAAAATGTGATTATTTCATATCTTTCCCAAGATACGCTAAGCATGTCGCGCCATCTGTAGTAAATATACAAAAATATTATATAATCGAAAATTAAAAAAGGGTTAGTCGATGCACGATACTTGTTGTAATTTGTAAAAAAGTGTGGTAGAATTTTAGTATGCTAAATATATTTCAAGATGGCGTGCAATGTATATTATTTACACATATATATCATATAATTATCTTATTGTTATATATACATCTTCAAAACATTTTTAAGACCAACAAGATGGCTTGTATTTCATAAAATATAGCTCATACTTTAAGTCTACTAAAAGGGAGTGGTAAATTAACATCATTTTCTACATGATAAATAAAACTCGTTTAAGACAAAAAATTATAAATACGCGAAGTTGTTGTTTGAAACGTAATATATAAAGCGCCATCTTTTAGTAAAAGATACTATTTTTAGAAGAATATTCAGAAACACTACAGAAATGGAATGCAATAAAACCCGTAATTTTATTTCGAGCTTATTATTGCTATTATTTTTTACTAATACAGATCCCCAACCATTTAATATCTAAATTACGAGTTTGTGTTTTAAATTGCAAAGATGCCAAAGATTAAAAAAATTAAACCATTCAAAAAGTTCATCAATATGTAAGACCTCGTAATTTATTTCATGGTCTCAAGTGTTGAGTCGTTTCTGCTTATTCTTTTTTGCAGAAATAACAGTTGTCATAAAGCTCATTAGGTTTAGTTTCTGAAAGTTTATGCTGACAATAACTGAAAACGCCATTTTGTTAGGACCATCTCGTAGTATCCTTTCCCCTTTAACTGAACAGATGAGTGTTTTACATTTCCAAGTAACAAACTATTTTCCGCGAGTGTTCAAATGAGTCAAGAAAAGGTTAACCTTAAAACCTTGATTGATTTTTTTACCCTATAGCAAGGGATCAAATATTATAATAATCTCTAATAGTCAGACAATGTATCTTGTTTAAAAGGGATCAGGCAGAAGAAAGCAACATTTTAATAAATAAGAAATTATTAAACTGCCAAAAATTGAGGAATTCTTGGATATTTATTTTGTACGAACATGTGAGGAGGTGCTTGAAACTACTTAAATCGACTTCTATTTGAATTTAGCGCAAAGCTACACGAGGGCTATCTGCGCTAATTTAGCAGTGAAAGACTAGAAGGCAGCTTAGTCACCACTCTTTTACCAACGAATAGTGGGATTGACCATCACATAATAACGGCCTCACGGCTGAAATGGCGAGCATGTTTGGTGGGACGAGGATTCGAACCCCCGATCCTTAGACCGCGAGTCAAGCGCCCTAACCACCTGGTTGGTTAAGATAAAGTATGAACGGACGGGGATTCGAACCCCTGGCCCTTAGACCGCGAGTCCAACGCCCTAACCACCTGGTTGGTAGATCAAGTACGAACAGTTAGACAATATTTTCAATATTCTTCTGATCACTATTACAATTAAACACAACCTTCAGTACTTGTCTGTCCCCCCCCCCCCCCAAAATAAGTAGAGTACACGAGCTTTAAAAGAAATCAGAATCTACAGATTAATTACCAAGCAAGTTCTACACTTACAAAACTGACGGTTTACTTGGTATTTATATTAGGAGGTGTTCAGAGTAAGTAACATACGAAATAATAGTGACAAATATAACCACTGTATTAATAACACCGCTGTTATTTCTACTCTTAACGATGTCACTGTTTTTTTTTTCTAATTATGGAAATTACATAACTCACGAAAAATATATTTATTAACTGATACACTTCACGAGTAATGTGTTACTGATTTTAAATATTCATTTCGATGAATAATATTACTTATTGTGAAGTTGCAGTTACCGATGCATTCTTGTCACGTTAAAACGTTACACAAAAATGAAATTAATTCCTTACACGCGTGTTTTCGCTATCCATTTAAAAGCCTGTAACGTGTACTTGTAAAACTGTTCGTCTATCAACCAACTAGTTGCTGAATTAAATTCTTTGAAGAACCGCTTCATAAGTTTCAATGGATATTAAGTTATTTTTTGCCCAATACTCCACCTATAAACTCTATTGGGGCCCGGCATGGCCA